CTCTTGTTCATCCTCTTGTTCATCCTCTTGTTCATCCTCTTGTTCATCATATTTATAATCTTCATCTTCATCATCATCTTCATCCATTACAGTTGAGAACAAAGTTGATTTCTTTTTAAAATGCTTTTCGACTTGTTCATTTATGATCTGTGCCCTTTTCTCTTGTTCAATCAATTTCTTTGCTCTATCTACAGCCGACACAAAATTTCCTTTTGCCTTTGCTGCTTCTTCCATCTGTTTTCTATGTTCCTGGGTTTGTTCATATAGTTTTTTGAGCAGCATCGAGTTATGCTCTCGTCTATAGGTTTCTGCATTACGAACAGGCGACACTGCCAAAAATGGATATTTGGGGCGGTCTGGTGAAGTGATTTTTAGTTTGGAGTTATAGATAATTTCAAGGTCATCGCTGTCACTATCATGTTGAACTTGCATTTTCGCTTGTTCTTGCTCTTTCTTTAACCTTTTTTCCTGCTCGCGTTGTTCTCTACGCTTAATAAAGTCTTCATATGACTTTATGTTCATCGTTGGCTTGATCTTTACTTCATTAGCTCTCAGAATACGTTCTCTTTGACGATACATTTCCATTTCTTCTCTCTTGGACATAGGTCTGTCATCGTCTGAATCGTCTGATGAACTATTCAACAGTTCCGTCTCCCGTACTAGTCTTTCTCCGTTCTCATCGACCTTTGACCTTAAATCGTCTCTGTTCTTCCTCGTCTTCCTACCGCCGCTTCTACGTTTTCTACTGAATTCTTCCTCCTCCCCATCTGACTGTTCTTGCCTTAACCTCTCCAAAAAGTCATGTACGTCTCGTCGTTGTTTCTGAGGCGGCTGTTCCAGGATATCATCTCTAGTCTTTTTCTTCTTCTTCTTTTCTTTTTCTTTCTCTCGACGTTTTAACTTATCAACCTTCTTTTTCTTCTTTTCGGTAATTGTATCATCGTCAACAGGTCTTAATGGAAAGTTCATGTATTTGTTTTCACTATTGTTGTTGTTATTGCTATCTGATATCAAACTTTTCTCAATCTCTCGAATAGGTCTTATGGAATCATCGTCTGATTCATCCTCAAGCTGAGTCAGGCCGCTCTCTTCTAGTCGAAAGTTACCCATTCTTAGCAGATTCTTGAGTTTATCTGAAACGTTGTAGTTATCAAGAGCATCGTTTTCGTTTCCAAAAGCAGAACTAAAATCATCTTCAGAATCAGAAACGCCTATATAGCTTGAGTTTAATCCATCGTCTCTCTTCGTTCGTTCACTCATTTTTAATATTATAAAAAGTATGCAAAAAGGGAGGTCGCGGTCACTTTTTAAGTTACAGAGTGCACGCGTCAAATTTTCTCGCGCGCGTGTGTGTGCGCAATAAATAAATAAAAAACTCAGTTGCTCGATTGCAAGCCTGAGAGTGGGTTTCTTTCCTCTTTACTACTGCTAATATTTACTAATGCATGAAAAGAAGTAGCAAAGAGTGGTGTATGATCCCAGAAAGACTATGATCAATAGACCGGCTAGCTAAAAGCGAAATGCAAGTGAAGTTTAACTAGTTCATCATCCAAATATGCCTGTAGAACGCTGAAAAGATGAATATCTTATGAATACTTTCATGGACCAACTTGAAATTCACATTTCTTCAGAAACCCGACACTGCTACCAAACAGGTAGGAATACTGGTCATCTTTGTAAATCAATGATATCGCGATCCAGATTACTTCGTGGGATAGTTACTGGTGCCGAAGCTAGAATTAATACGAAAAAACAAGTGAAAAACGCTAGGGCAGTATTGGGAGAGCTTTGCTGAAGCCGAGTTCTTTAACACTGCTCAAAGAATTCGAAAAGGAAAACCGGAGGCAAAGAAGAGACAACAGAAGAAGCGGAAGATACCACTGCACAGAGACAAGAAGAATAACAAATAAGAACTTTTAGTGCTTCTTTGCTCTCTTTTAATATCAACTCAATTTTCCCTAGCTATGGCTTAAAGTTTGCTCAATATATATACACACTGTCTGAGGCGAGAACAGCTCGAATTAATGGATACCTACGGCATCAGACTCCTTCCAGAACAGCTACTCCTCTTTCTCATACAAGAAATACAAAAAGAAATAATGAAGCATTTGAACATAGGATACCAGATAGAAGAATGATTTAACAAGCAGAAGTAGATGTACTACAAAGACAATTAAAAAAAGTTAATTCTGAACGACGATAGTTTACGCTTAGAAACAATATCCGCGATTTAAAGAAACAATGGATAAGAAGTGCAGATAAAAGATTAATAGCCACTGGTATAGAGCAAAAGCAACTGGCTTTGTCAAAAAGTTCAATAAACGAAAGCTTCTAGAGATGCTATAAATGAAAGGCTTATAGACACGAAACAGTAATTATCAGACGCAAGAAGAAAATTGTATAATAATCTTAATCAGGCCACTTCCTATGGCAGCAATAATAGTCAGTTATCTTGTGTTGAACATTTCAAGCTTGATGACGCTCAATCTGATTTAACAAATTTCGCTTTTTCTGGGACGGGCAATGGTTTTGTGACTATGACAGAAACAGCAAAACTATCACTAGATCATTTCAAGTTTCGCTTTTATATAACAAACTCTCAGCTTTGACAGAAAGCAGTTTGATGCAGCTTATTTTCGTCTATCCGCAGATTCTGCTAGTTTTGAAATTTCTACAGAAAGAGGCCATGTTCTTCAAGGTTGCAAAGCCTTTCAAAGCCCACGCGTCCGAAATTGTTTATGGTAGTGGTGCGAATCAATTAAGATCAAAGTATCAACATGCTAAGAAAACAAATGCTAAAGTTATCTCAGAAATTGAATCAAAACTTAGTGAATGCAGCTTCCAAGATATAAGCAGTATTGATCAATTTGATAATTGATATAATGGAAAAATCACGCACTAAGGCGTACTTTGAGATTTCTATTACTTGTGACAAAGAGTACGTCAATTACGAACGATGAACTGCAAAAGCGGAATATAAAGATAGGCTGTGTTCTCAAGTACGATCCTATGTGATTTCAAGCAGCGGAAAGCCATCAATTATGCTCTATTGGAGATAATGGTCTCTGCTTTGTGTCGTCCATAAAGGGTTACCAAAGATATGGAGGATATTGGAAAATTATCAAACGTAACCTCTACACTTTGATTTGCATAACAAGCGAATACAATGCCTCACTAACTTGCATTTTTTGTTACAAGAAGCTGTTACACCCAAAGCGCAAGACAATGGACGAGAATGGCTGTATCAATTTAAAAAAAAATGTAAATGACGCTTTTGTTTGCGTGAACCCATCCTACCCGTCAGTAAAAGCAGATCAAAATACTCATGTTACAGACATGCTGAGTGTTGTTTCTATTGACTTGTCTGGTATGGCGGCTCTGCTATGTGGGGCAGCATTCCCTCAATTCAACAGAACTATCAGTCCATCGTAGATTGATCAGTTCTGCCGAATTGCTACCGCTTTCTGCACAGAAAACGTGATTAAGCCTATAGCTGCTGGCTATACACTCTTTCCGGAAAGTAAATTCACCTATGATCGAAAATAAATGCACTCAATGGTGAGAACAAAATTCATGCTGTACGAAATATAAATTCGTCCTCACCAAGAATATTTTCCTAGTACCAGCCTTGACATCCATGGATATACTGTATTTTCAAAAAATAATGAGACTGAATGTCGTGCTTTCCAAATTTAGATGTCGTATTGAAACCATTGTAATGTTATCTGAGTAATTACAAATACAAAAAGAATATGGCTCACTATCCCATTTGACAGTATTATTAACAGGTGGGCTGTCTTGGAGTTGAAATTAACTTAATATTAGCAATAGTCCTCTTTAGTCTCTTGTAAAAGTTTAAATTCTTTATTCATATTTGGCAATGCATATTCTTGAATGGTCACGATATAGATTGCTTCTATTTGATATGGTTTCTTTATCTCAGGTACTCGATCCTGAAGCTTGTTTGGAAAAGAGTCCTTTTTTTGCTTCTTTACAGCAGTTATCAAATGTCCCTCTGAGTGTTCAAAGATTCACAAATCAAAACTAGCCTGTCCTCATGGTTTTTGCTCTGACTCGCTTGCCTTGCCCTCTTTGCTCTCTGGCGTGTATCTGGAGCGTTTTCCCAATTGCCTCGTCTGGTGCTCTGGGTTCTCTCAGTCCTCCGTTCCTTTTTTTTTTTTTGTTTATATAATCCTGGGTAGTTATCGCTACCCTCCCCAGAATGCACCTTGGGGGTAAGTAAAACTAATATTAGGGTATATGCCCTAATACTAACATACTTTTTCTCTCTTTTGACATGATGTCGTTTTATTCAAACATATTTTTCTTTATCGTCTTTTTACGTAAATAATTTTTTTTATTTTATGACAATATTTTATAAAAATGCAGTAATGCCTTGAGGATAGTTATACAACAAATTAATTCGAGTCTTTTGGCCTTGATACTTGTAAAGTGTATCTTGGTCTTTGGAATTTAGTTTGAGGCTGCCTGACTAAATTTCTCTGGCAATAGTAGTTGAGGGGTTGCCAGCTGCACACACACGCTTTTAGAATCAAGCTCCTTCTTACCTTTTTGCGATTGATCCTGTTAATCGAAGCTGTTAAGACTTATTTTGTAATGGTTTTATATTAAGTAAAAACTATTTTGAAGCATTGTTAATATAATGTGAGGTCAATGGTCTACAATCTTTATTTTATAAGTTTAATGTTTGATATAAACAACAGATCTTATTACAAATTCAATTGATAAGCTTGTGAACTATTAAGCTAAGAGAAGGCCCATAAAGTATATGATAGTAAAGATGAAAAAAAAAAAAAAGAAATACAGTACGTGGTAATATACACAATTGTTGTATCAAATAGGCGATGGATATTACAAAAAAAGACGGATCTTTAATAGTTTATTAAATCAAAGATAGTTTTAGAGTGACAATTTCATGAGGTTTAAATCGTATGATCGTTCCTTCATTTATCTGTCTTTGCTGCTCTAATTCTACAATGTCATCATCCAACACTCGAAGATTCTTACTGAATGTCCGACTGACATTTGAAGGATTTGTTGGATTGATAATAGGTATCGATTCAATATCTTCTTCTAATATATTACATTTACTCATTTTTTCAATGACTCTCGAACTAATAAGTACCAGATCAGTTGCAGGTACACATACATCTATTTCTTTTTACCTTATTAATCTGGCCTTGGCATGTCCACCATAAGCTTCGTATAGTCTGATGATGACATCGTTTGAATCCTCAGCTAATTTTATAGTATCAAGTATCACATTAGGGGCATTTTCTATTGTAAATTGAGGAACAGCATGGTCTACATCATGTATTCTACTCTTTGGAGTCACACTACAGATATACAAAAGAGGGAAATTGATATAAGCACATTTTGTAAATATTCGTATTCATACCTTGCCAACAACGGCGCATTAAAATTATAACCTTGCTGGACCACGTCCGATTGTAAAAAGTGATTAGGGTGTGGATAAATAGCATACTTGAATATATGGTGACCTAAATCACAATTTGAATCTGGTGCCTTGGGTGATCGCAAAAGAGATAGCCGCATGGAATTCTGAAATGCTGAACACCCATATTTACAGTCATTCAACATAGCCACGCCATATCCAAATTCGGACAGATCCATAAACTTTTGAGCCATCACCTCAAATTTGGCACTGTCCCAGCTCGTGTTGTAATTTGTTGGTCGCTGCACATAGCCATATTGACACTCATAGGTCGCTACGTCCGTCAGGATATCCCAAGAAAACTCGACCTTCATAAACTTTCTGTTTTCGTTCCAGTCAACCTCAGTTTCGAAATCAAGTCGACGCGATACAGCAGTGAGTACGACTATCTGCCGCAGACGACTAAATTCAGAAATCTGTTTCTCGATTAGAAGTGAGACACGAAGGGGTCCCTGCTCAAGGATCTGCACGGATCCTTGGTCTACCCTTCTGGCTTTTTCCAGATGATATATTTCAACATCCCACGCATCCCAGAAGAGAGGAATATCTTCATATATCTTGAATTCGTTGCCACATTCTCCTGGTCTAATCAGGTCGCGCTCTACTTGTTTGTCAAATAATCGGACAATATGGCCGGACTGATCAAATGTGACTTGAATAAACTGGTTTTCGATAACAATGTGGTTCAACTGATCCATCTTGATCTTTACAGGTTCATATCCTAATTGCTCCTTAAAGCTGTAGCCTTTGGACCCCATTGGTGGTACGTTATTCACTATATAAAAAGTCGATGAGTATATTAATAAACAAATAATTGTAAAGCTTTACCAAGTGCATAAGCTGATCTCCCAAAGGCAGAATATTGTGTTAATTTTGGTAATCCTTCGTTAAGAGGCACTGTCACTACTTCGGTTCTTTCCCAAGGTAGTGTGTTGATAATGGCCAAGGCTGCACTATCCATATCAGCTATGTGCACACATAATGGACTAGTTTTTTATACCTTTTGTATCATCCAACGTAGGTTCCTCCTGTAAGTTGAGTAGTTTTGCCAAATACTCATTTCTCATCTGCTTTCCCAAGACATCAATCTTGGTATACAGTTGCAAACAGTCATCATAGACCATTTCAATAGCAGAGCCACCCATGACATCATGGAATTGAGTTAGACATAGGAATTTCCAAAACTCGTTGATGGTCTCTCTAGGATATCTATGGCTTTTTGTTAGTGTATCTTTTAAACAACATTCTTGTCTCTTTACTGGAATGATTCAGGGTATTTCAGATACGCAAAGGTTGCCAGCATCTCAAGATCTCGAAGCAGAAATTCACAACTTCGGTTTAATTTCTTACACAATGATTGTGTAGTATAGATGCCTCTGTGCAGCTCAAAGTACTTTTTTTTATATGTGGATCAGCTTTAGCATACACATCCTCCCCTCCAAATATATACATATATACACGTACCAATTCACCTTTCCAAAATGGCAATTCGTTAGCTGTCTTTTCGATTTGCTCATAAAATTCGATATCTGAAGCCATCTTAATCTTTGGTAAGCCGTCCTTTTGAAATTATTTATTAGACTTTTTTTTTTTTTTTTTATTATATGTGGTGATCAACTTACCACATCCTTCATCCGTCGTAGTCTCTCTATCATGCTTGCCAAGGGCCCTCCTCCTCCATCACCATTACCGTACACTAACAGACTCGAGTTGGAAAAGACTTTATCCTTGTGATTTTTGACACTGAAATAAAATAAAAAAGGGGTTATCCTTTTTGTTTCTGACCCACATCCAACTTGTTTTTACCTTCTCGTAAGCTCTTCTGGTGTGCATTGAGCATTATAGGTTTCTGATGGTGCCATATGTGTTAATATTTTTGTACCATCTAATCCAATCCACCAAAATGTCGTAAGAGGGAATTTGTTGACATTGTTCCATGATAGCTTTTGTGTGAAAAAGTATTTCATGTCTGCTAGTTTCATTAATTGAGGTATCTTTTTTGTCAATCACATTAAAACACTTGCTTTCCTCTTATTTTCTTTGTCTTTTTACCTGTGCTGTATAACCAAATGAATCAGGTAACCAGAATATTTTACATCGTTTTCCAAAGTTCTCTTTGAAAAATCGCTGCCTGTTTTCATAAAAAGGGGTCAGTTATGATAACATAGGTGTTCTTTCTTACCCTAGAAGAAATTGTCTACAAAGTGATTCTCCACCAGGTATATTGGTATCCATCTCTACCCATGTCTATAATAACAACAATAAGAATAGATAGGTAAAAAAATAAAAATAAAATAAACAGTTACTTACCCCTCCAGTAGGCACGAATTGACCCATAGCTACCTTCTCATGTATTCTTTCCCACAGCAATAGATAATTTTCTTTGACCCACTCATATTGTTGTGCCTGTGAACAAATAAATTTATAGTCAAGGTATCTGTCCATCAGATTGATCTGTGATGACCAACTGCGAGCACATTTTCGAATTGTTTCTTCAAACGGCCATAGCCAACCAGTGTCTGATATGATTAGCTTCATTATTACATAAATATATGTATATAGTATACCTATATGACAATGTCCAACTGCATATACCTCATGCTGTGCATCACCATTCTTGGCATTTAAAAATTCGCGTGATATATTTAGTGCTTCGACAATCGATCGATCGTCACCAGCCGAAAACACGTTCATGATCCTGTTTGCTGTATAAAGGGCTTGGGAGCCTCTTAGAGAATCCTCTGGAAAATCTTTGCCAATACCAATAATTACTTGAAAATCATGCAAAAGGTCCCAGGCAAGCTTATTAGGCACAACAAGTTCCTACATGTGGTTTAATAAAATGTCACTTTTTCTATTGTCTTTATTACCAGTTCGTGTAGATTGAAGAACCTGTTTGGATCGGGTGGACCGATTAAACCACTACCAGTACCAAACATACCGTTACATGCCATTTCAACATAAAACTGAATGATTTCCCCTCCTTGCGCACTTGTTGTCAAGATATAATCCAGTCGTGCATCGTTTCCAGCTGTGTGATATACATAGAGAGAGGGGTTTAATTTCTTTCGCGCTAGACCAAATTGGTAAATTATATTAAACTTTACCACCACCTGTTAAACCCTGAAGAGGCAGACCTTCCATACTCCAAATTAAGGCTTCATTGTCTGAATTCCAAATGAAGTGTACTTCTTCACCAACAAACTCTTCTGGAATCCGCAATCGAACATGGAACCAGTGTGTAGACTAGCCAATATGAATATATGCTGTAACATTATATATATATATAATTACCCAAGAAGGACCAAACCATTCACCTAGGTGGGTAGGTCTAAATTCTTGTCGAATAGCTTCTTCGAATGGTATTCGCTTTAGATCAGGAACACTGTAAACTAATAGCGAAATGTATTCCTCTATTTAATGTGAATATCAAGTACATATACTATGCTTTATTCCCCAACCTGAGTCAGTTCGTGCTTTATATAGTTGAGAAAGAAGGTTGATGTCACTGCCATTGACACCAGAAGTTACAAAATTCGAACATCGATCAACTGTTATACTTCTTATAGATTTTGGATGCTGAATAATACTTGGCTGTGTGCTGTTACTGCTATTGTTGTCATGATTATTATGTTTATTGTTGTACTGAAATGGTATAAACTGAGGCGACAGTTGATCAAAGGGAAATTGGCTCAAATTCATTACAAATGAAAAACAAGGGAAAAAGCAAGAATGAAAAAAAATAAAATAAAAAAAATTAAAGACCTTATATTTGACAACCTTCTACGCACTAACAAAAAGGATATGTGCGTGTGTGTGTGCAAAAGTTGACATTCCCTTATTATTTACAAATACACAATTCCAAAACTTTTTTTCTTTTATTGTAAATAAAGAGAAAATATAGACACAATTTAAGCCTTGTTGGCGGTCTGATAAAGGCCATTAGTCTTTAATATATGCTTTATCATCTTATTTTACCTTTTGGAATCTGAATCTAGGAGGAGGAAGTCTGTTGCGACGCTCGGTGCGAGAACGAACACGGACGATACGAGCGTGAATAGCGCAAGAGACACAGTAGTGAAGCTTGACGTAGAGCTTAGGAATAGCATATTCTACATCGAGAAAATGAATATGTCGCCATTTCTCCCTCTCAATTATTTACCTTCGTAGACAGAAGCTTCCTGAATATCACGAATGGCAGCAGTTTCTACCATGTTACGAATGGTGAAACGCTTAATGGCCTTGTCCTATTTTATCAAAAGGTTCAATAACTCTGCTTGTCTTTGTCCTTTTCTATCTAACCTTGGGGACACAGCGGTAGCAGTTGATGCAACGGACAAACTTGGTGTGTCCACGTCCGTGTTGGTTACGTCCATTGTTTCTTCTCTTGCTAGTCTACGATTCCAGATATCAAAAATATTAATCAATCTGTCCATAACTGACCATTGTATATTCGTATATTGGATGGATGATTCTTTACCATGATGGATGGATTGTAATCACTAAAAGGAAGATTTCATATGGGGTCCTCATCTCTTCACCCTTTTGTTATTTTTTTTATGGTAAGCTCATGAGAATAACTCAACATTTTTGTCCGGTCGGGGTTTAAATAGGCTTTATTTCTTTCTTACAAGCGACCCTCTCTAGTCTTTATGAGGGAAGGGCCATCTACCAGAAGACAGGGTCCACCAAGAATGACTTTAAGATCACTATTTTGCGCCACGTATTCTTTGACAGCATTATCTTCTGCGCCAGGTTGAATCCATACATACTTGAAACCTAATTGTTTAGCATCTTGCAACACTTGTAATGTTACTTTGGGTGGAGTGACGATGGATATAGATGTTTGTTGAGGGACAGAGACTTGGTGTATGCTGTTCAATGCATTCAATCCTTCAATCATGCTTTCTTTCTATATGATGATAAGCTTGATTTTTTATTGCATGAACAAAGAGATTGCTTACTGGGTGAATAGGAGTCACATCAAGTCCATTCGCTTGATACCTTTATAAACATTAAGTTATCTAGTCTTTATTTAACAGTCAAATTACCAGCGCAAGATACGGTTGCCAAACTTTTGGCGATCAGGGCTAGCACCGACTACTACGAAATGAGGGTTTTTTATGAATTGTTGAGCAATCGAGTTGGACATGAGTGCTGAATAATGATAAATACACAGATGGGAAAAAAAAAGGGAAATTATTTTTATATCTTCCAGAATCAAGATTGAACACAGAAGAAAAACACTCATCTCAACTTGAATTTATTCTACCTTAATTATTAGAATAAGTAGCTTGTTCTCCTTTCTATCTTTTATGAAGCAAACAATATTTAAATGCAAGGTAATAAGGCAATGTCCATATACAATTGCTCGAAAAGACGCGTGTATTGTGTTGCAGAAGAATAGAGCGACGCCATACATTCATCAAAGCTTTTTACGGCTTGGATTATTTGATAACACTTGATGCTCGAGAGGAAATAATCAACGTCATTATGGCAAACTGGTATAAATGTTCTTTCCTTCTCTCTTGCACAAGCGAGTCTTGGTTGTCTAAATTTTGAAGCGCCAATTGTGTCATGTGTAAACAGTGATTTCAATCAATACTATCTTCTTTAAAGAATAGTTTTCTTGATAAAGCCATGTTGAATCTATTTGACAATAAATGTCCAAAAGGTCTTTATTGATTTATACATTAGATCATCTTCAATTTAGCCTCATTATTACTTTGAATTACTCTTGAAATTCCATGGTATCAAAATATTCGCACAAATGGCAGTTAAAAAAGTACACTTATTTATTCTGTGAAGAAATGCTCTCAATGTATTGTATAAATGTCCACAGCCGTGGAATATGACTGAAGGCTTTTGCAGAATAAAAGTATGCTGTCGATATATTGTCAAGACATATTTTTCAACTATGAACATCATGAATAGATCCACATTTTCAACTTTAGAGAACATTGTTGAGGGACAGCGATAGTTTGAAATACAACTAAATCGAGTATCCACTTGCTGACTACCATTATACAAAAGGAGGATTAGACTGGAACGCATGGCTTATTACTCGTGATCATAAGTGCTTAATTATTTCTTTCATTTACATCCATTCTATAATAAGAAAAAGGCACATTTAGACATCATTTGCAAGTAAGCAATGTTTCCAGGAATGACCGCGCGGAAGTATTGCCATATTTATTCCCCTGCCTTAACATCGGCCGCCAACGGTACTACAGTTAAACTTGGCCAGGGATTAGACTGAGTGACCCAATCGTTGTAAACCCCTCTCTTAGCTCACGAATAAAGAGAAAGAAAGGAAAAGATGAATATGAACACTTATTTTATATTTTTTCCGTCAGAATCATCTGTGACTCAAGGCTACCAGCGTTTACATCCCTGGGCAAAACCGCAATGGTCAATAGTCACGTTACGCATTAGGCAGCCTTTAAGGAGTCGGAAACTCCTGCATCTACATGTAATGATTATTGTGTACGCTCTTGTATCTCTATTTAATCCCGATCTAACTAAGATGCTGATTTTGTATTAATAAATTATCGCTTATTTTCATGAGTTTTTTATTCTTCAGAACTCATATAGTACTTTATACAAAGGTTATATATTCTGTAATTGTCCTCTTCTCCACTTGGTAAATAGATAACAGCTGCTTGAATAATTGGGATGAGCATTTATATCAGCACAAAGATATATTTCGTCTTGCGTAACTGTATCATATGTATTTACATAGGACTTTGATAGATAGGCCGCTGATACAATATTTATATTAGTAATGGTGAAATCAAATTAAGAGATAATACATCAATAACTGTGCAGTACCCTCCAAAAGATAGTGACCATTTTGCAAAAGTCGGGGGGATTTTTTTTTTTGAAAGATGCTTCATAAATAGACTGTTTTTACCTTTCTTTCATACACTTTTCTCGTATGACTATATAAAATGCCTTATTTAATTTTGTCTTTAAAAGAAAAAATTGGTATTAGATGTCGTGATAACATTTCAGCAGCACAGATTGCCATTGAGGAAAACATTCCAGATAGATCTGTACCTTGAATATATCAACCATGAAAAAAAAAAAAAATGAAACTATAGAGACGAAATTCAAGTCTGAAAGGCCGCCTATTTTCAACGATAGGAGAAGAAGAAAGCTGTCAAGAGCTATACATGCAAACGGTCGTGCTTCACTTAAAGAAATTAGACTGCTGATCAGCTCTAAGGCTTGTGAGGACACCATACGCAAAAAACTCAAAAAGCTTGACTGTGTTTCTCTTATAGCTATTGATAAGATTAATTCTTAGTGAATAGGAAAATAGAAGAGGCTCGAATCTTCCAGTATTTTTGCAAGCAATGACCAATTTCTGTATAAAAGAAAGAGTCCCCTTTTATTTAATTTAAAATAATGCAATATTTATGAGGCTTCAAATAGTTGGTATCCCACTATAGTTACAGGTGGTAAGGTTGTATTGATCTTCAACTAAATATAACGACAATAGCGTATGTGTTACACGCCGTAACAGTATTCTTCCACTAGTCGTGCATTTAGTTTCAAGGTTGTCTGTATGGAACGAGGTAATTTTCGCTGACAGGTTCTTCTATTCTTCTTGCATTAATACTCATCAGATAGTATGTCAAGTTCTTATTGATCTTCACAATTTCCATCGGACAAAATCACTTTTCATCAAATTTGCTTTTAGGGGCGTGATTTTTATCAAAACTTTGTCCTCAATGCGATATTGCTTGCTTTCAGTTACATCCTTGTCGTACCTTTCTTTCATTTTCTTTTTCATGTCCATAGAGTTAGTTACAGCTTCTTGTTGTATTTCTTTGAGCACCTTTTCTATATATAAGGTTCTCGATTTAATCAGATTTCCTGTATTTGAGAATGTTAATCTTTCAGTAGGTGATAACCATAGAGCAGGTGTACGCAATTCGAAGCCACGCAATAACATGGAAGGAGAATAATCGGTCGAATCATTGGTCATTGTCCTAATATACCATAAAGCACTTGAAATGTAGGAACCCCATGGTTTTTTAACATTACTGTTTCTTCTTATCTTGAATATAGTCTGCACGAGCGTTTGATTTAGCCTCTCTACCATACTATTTGATTGAGGTCGATAGGTAGTTGTAATGAGATGCTTGCATTCTAATTTTTTTAAGACATGGCCCAAGTATTCCGCTTTGAAGGAGGTACCTCGATCGGTCAACAAGTATGTGGGGATCCCAAAATGTTGGAAGACATTATTCAATAGGAACTTTTCTGCGGATTTAGCGGTAATGTCTTTACATAGTGCAGCAATTGGCTATCGTGTCAAATAATCAATACAAACTAATATATACTTGTTACCATTAGGAGTAGTCTTCATTAGTTCAACAGCATCCAGTCCTACCATATAGAAGGGAATCGATGGAGTCGGTATGTATTTCATTTTGATAGTTTTTTTCTTGGATATGATTTAATGTTTTTGGCACAGATTACAGGATTTTACTAGTTCGGCCACCTTCTCAAATATGTGCTTACCCTCGTATAGCAAAGAGGTCCTTTTCCAAGTATTTTTGATACCGAAATGACCTTCATTATGTATCTGCAGGGTGATATCTTCTATATTTACGTCGTGCAAGATTTCTTTACCCACGATATATTTGGCTTCTTCTTGGTTGTCTCCTGCCTTAAGCTTTCTATAGAGCTTTCCTTTGTGAGCCAGATATTTCCTTGATTGAAAGTATATTTGCTTGTTCTTTTCTTTGGTGTTGTCAGAAGGATATGTTCCTTGGGTTAAGTAGATATATAACATGACGTATTGTGAATATTCCATGTTTGATTCGATTGATAGTTTAAGGTAGATAATAATAGATTGATGATAATAGTAAAGCACAAATAAGATGACAAGTCGTAATAGTAATTTTTTTTTATAAAAATGTATATATATATTTTTTTTACATGGTTTTTTTATATTTCTTCCCTTTATTATTATATTTATATGTTTTTTTTTTAATTTTAATTCTTTCATATATATTTTTTTGTCTCTTTTTTTTATACTTTGTCAATTAAACCCTCCCAACCTCCATTTCTATGTTAAATAATATTAGTAATAATCTGATATCTATATAAATCGAGATAATGCGTCGCAGGATTTCTCTTTCCCGATCGACGTTTAATTGTAAAATTGTATTCCATCAGCGCAGCAGATCAGTGACTGAGCTTGGGATTCGTCCTCTCATTGTCAAGGATAAATTTGACTGCAGAAATGTCAATATATAAAATGAATTCTCTGTTACCTGCTAAATAATGTCTGAAGCATTTAACACCCCATATAATCGCATAAATTTCGGAATGCACCGTTGCCCATCTTTTTTGACCTTCAGTGAGTGATTTAGACGCATAAGCTATTACCTTTTCATTGCTTTCACTGCCATCCGGAAATTGTGAAAGAATGGCACCAAGGTCTACACCAGAAGCATCAGTGGTTAGTATCTGCACCTGACTATTGTCTGGACAGATTAGGAGAGGAGAATTTGTCATGGCCAGTTTCACCTTCGACAGAGATTCTTCTGGACTATTTCCCCAGTTAAATTTATAATTCTTTAGCAGTTTGGTAATAGGTTCCATCAAGTCATCATAATAAGGAATAAACCTCCTGTAATAATTCGTGGTTCTCAATAGTGGTCTTACTTCTGCGATGTTCTCAGGAGCTCGCATTTCTAATATCTTACTCATGTTTCGTCCATTAAGAGCAATGCCGTCTTTAAATATCACATAGCCCAGATACTCTACCTTGTCTTGCAGGAAATTACATTTGGCTCTTTTCAATTTTAACTTGGTAGCAGAGCATATTTTAAAAACCTTCTCGATATGTTCGAAGTGTTCTTCGTGATTTTTGGAAAATATAATGATATCACATCTATGAATACTAAAACAAATTTACCTATATATGGACTGAGTAGTGAGATTATCATTTGCTCATACGTATTCGTTGCAGTGGCTAAATCAAACGGCATAACAAGAAATTCGTAAGTTCCCATCTTAGTAATAAAACCAGTCTTTTCTATAGATTCTTCCGCGAGGGGTATTTGCTAATAACCAGAGGCTGCATCAAGTGTAGAGAAGACGGTAGTGCCGTCAAAGGAGTCGAGTAATTCATTTGTTATAAGCTAGGCATAATAAATAATAAATTATGCAATAAAGCTTAAACAGCATCACTCATGCAGGCAAGGTTTACTTCAGATCTAATAATGAATTGCATAATAAGGAATAAATACTGACTTACGAATGGTGAATAAACTTTATAGTCTTTGCATTAAAACAGTTATGATTCAATGTGACAGTAAAGCTGCATTGAGACAAGTAGAGAATCAATTAATACAATAAGATAAAATAAATCCTCACAATAATATAACAATAGAACTGAAATAGAAAGGTAACGCTTACTGCATTAAAAGTTTAAATAAGGTTCCTTGGAATAAATACTCTCCTGCTTGTATCTAGTTTTCAGGTCTCAGATCAACAATTGGTCAGGAACAAATACAAGTGCCATCTAAAAGAAGAACTCTAAGAAAAGAAGTTTTCTATGATCAAGGGATTATATTTTATAATATAAATCTAGACGGATAAATGATAACCAACCTAGCATGAATAAAGTTGTCCCCAAATTAAACAAATAGCTCAACACTAAACCAGTTAGCAGAAGAAGATCTAGTGACTCTTTCCTCAACTCTTGGAGACTGAAAAAGTATAAATAGTTCCTCTTATTACATGTCATTGTCAGTGGTCTTATTTTCTTGGAAGAATAAAAAGTATCTCAACATGCTTTCTCTTGGTGCTTTTATTTCTTTTATTATAAGATTATATCGTCATTTATATGAGGTAACGGAAATACAGTCTTTTTTGTATTTTGGTTCAATTTGTGGAAATCAACAAGACGTAGACCCTTATCCTTCTTGAATATAAAGAATACTGGACTAGTCCATTTGCCTTGGGAAGGATAAATCAACCCATTATTTAGCATATCTGTAATTTCTTGCTTTAAATGCTCATCCTCTTCCCATATTAATCGATAGGGTTTTGTGTGTACCGTAGCATTTGGGTTTTCCGATTCAATTGTATGAGCAAATCCAGGGCTTATCCTCTCCCAGACCAGTATTTTCAGTAAAACATTATTTGTATTTTTTCAGAAGAGCGAGCATTTTGCCCGATACAAAGGTAAGAGACAAAAACTAGTAATAAGAAAAAGAATAGGAAAAAGGACAATAAGTCAGTGAGACTGAAACATATGATATCTTTATGTACGATGGATAAAACAATGGTATTTATACTTTTTAACATCTACAATCAATAATGATAATTGGATATCGTAAGCGTACCTAGGCGTCCAGCTACAATGGGAATAACTGGGAAGAACCTAACTAGTATTAAATATTGGTTCGATGTATGTTCGAGGTGCCTTGTTAATGAGATGGTACTGTTACGGTGTGTAACATATATGTTATCGTCGTTACATTTAGTTGAAGATCGATATTACTTTACCACATGTGATCATAGCGGGACATCGACTACGAGATTTCATAAATACTGCATTGTTTTAAATAAAGATTAACTCTTTCTTTTGTACAGAAATTGTTCATTACTTGCAAAAACACTAGAAGATTCGAACCTCTTCTATTTTTTCATTCACATAAGAATTAACCTTATCAGTACATGATCTGACAATGTCTTGTCGAATAAGGAACCGTTGACCTGGAAGTTAGAGCACAGACGTTTAATTAAGTAATGTAACAACGCTCTAAAAATAAGCTTGCATATGATAGGTCATATATGGAAGAATTCCTTATTGTGTTTGGATTTTGGATGGACTTTAACAAAGTAGAAAATACGATGAGACTGTGTTGTATCTTCATTCAAAATAGAATAAAAAGAAAAGGGATGATAGCACAATCTATAATTATATATTAAGAAGCTGAGATATTTAAGCTGAGTTGACTATACTTGATTAAGGTGTAACAGATCTTAGCAACATTAGGTTCAATACTAGACATTGTATTTAAGCACTGAATAGTAGCGTGGATACTACATCACCCCCTTCCAATCTACTAGACGTCTTTTATCTGATTATTATTTTTGAATCTGATAATTGCATCCATAGATTTATGCGTTTATGCATTTTAGTAATACCATGATTTGATCTGTCAAATGTAATTTGTTTTTGTTTGTTTTTTACTACGTAGTTGATTATTTGACTACAGATGTATATTTTAAATGCATTATTGCCATATAATGGGGATTATATGCCATGGTATTTTTAATCATAGTATTCTAGTTTTTAATATATAGACTAGAGGATGTTTGTATTATTTTTTTTTTAAGTGATCAGCTATTTAGTAACTTTTCTTTTGTTTTTTTTTTTTTTTTTTTTTTTTTTTTTTTTTTTTTTTTTGTTTTTTGTTTGTTTATGGGTTGGTTCATCCTGACCGATTCTTTTGTAATAGTCAGTAATGATCCTAAGATTCTGGAAATTTTTATAGGGTTCCCATGTATCATCTTCAGGTATGTAGCCTTTCCAACGTACTTTATATTCATAAGTGTTGGTTTTTATTTAGTCTATGTTGAACAATTGCTTGTATTTCATAAACTTCCTGCTCAGGGATTTTTTCATTCATGGATATTAATTTCAACTCTGTTGGAGTATATCTACGCGTTAATATATCCCCTGATAGGTCTCTAAGCACATAGGCACCACCTTGCAACACTAACAATGACTGACCTTGCATCAATTGAATTGCACTTGCTGGCATTGTCAAGGCTGTTATTATTCAGTGATGGAAAAGGGCACATAATGAAGGGGAAAGAAGGGAAAAGAAGGAAAGAAAGATAATAAAGTGACAACTTTGGTGATAAAGAGTACAGATAAATGGTACTGACAACATTTGTAAATGTGTGTGACGTATGACCAACAGAGTTATAGGGTGGATCGGCGTTTGAAATAACACAACGACACTTTTAAGGGACGCTTGGGGTCCTTTGTTCGCCTACCTATATGATCGACAGAAGCAAACTCCACAAGTACGCTAATTTTCCCTGGGGGCTTCACTATGTATGCTACCATGGGTCATGGCAACTAATATACATTTAGAGCATCATAGGGACAATCACTGAAGCGAACATTGACAATAGGTTTATGGTTGTGATTGCTGTATTCAGCTTTAGTGTTATTAAAAAAAGGCTATTAAGTCGATGACTTGCGAATTAGATTCTTTATTAAGAAGAGCTGAATATTATTAAATTAAGTTTGTGTGAGAGTTTACTTGGGTAGAGAATCTATGACTGTGTTGTATTCATACTTAGTGGATCAACTATTAACCACATATGAAACAATAACTGGCAATTATTCGATTTCAGCTTGTTACTTTGAAACAACTGTGCGGATCATTATTTAAGCTGATTATCAGCAACTGCATTTTAAGGTACGCGTATCCAATAACTCTGATCCATCATTGTTATTAGGGATCATCGTCTTATCAAAGACACCCGTTCGTCCTAGCTTTCTCATTGCCTCAATTGCCATTCGTAAGCCTCTATGAAAAGTTTTACGATCTCAGTTGAAGAGTATCTCACATTTAGTATAAATACTTGTCTTTAATAAAGTCAATCAAGATATATCTTTTAGTCTGGTTAATTCTAGTCTTTATTCTTTTTAATTGATACTTCGTATTCAACAGACTGCTATTTATATTATTGTCGTCACTGACATTATTTAAGTATATATTATTATTGTTATACAGTAACTACTATAGTTGTTATTATAAGTTATTCTTATCAGATGCGATAGAGGAATGTAAAGTAGAATGTATGCTCTACTGTAAAATTATACTCGAGTTATTATAATTATTATCTCAGCAAACACGTCAGAAAAGAACAGTTGATGTTCGATAACATATAGATCCAGCTTTTTCTTTATAAAATCCCTGAACCTACATTTATCTCAAGTTAAGGAACAGTGACCAAAACACCTATTGTGGTATTTGGATTAATAAATGGCATATCAATAAGCCATTACACATAAAGAACAATTAAATAGTTCAATTAGAATCAAGATAGATGATATCTATTTATAAATTGAGAACTCTCGCCCACGTGTGAATATTTATCACTGTGACAGTTATAAATCTAAGAAAAATTTATTATTTAGACAACAGCTCGTCATACATCGCTATTGTCCTGTCAACATCACCCTAAATATTGGTAATCATCATAGCTGAGATAACTATATCCGATCATTAGAAAAAGTATAAATAAACTTCCGTATTTCATTCAATAAAGGACAACTTACTTTTAGTCTCGTTAATCATTTTGTCTATTTACCCAAATACTTCATCTATTATTACTTGTTTGTGGAACCTTACACCCTACATATACGTGTACTGAACCCACTATATATCCATTACTCCATATATAGCATTTAGCTAGGCGATAATTCGTAACAACACTTTATATGATATCAACTGTCCTAGGTCTTATCTGAGTTAGCTACTCTCACACAAGGCTTGATGTCATCAAGTATTGTATCACGCTTTACTGTCTAGTATTATATTGGATGGGCTTCTTTATTGATGTTTATCAAATATGTAATAACATATGTATTCAATAAAGGTTATCATCAGTTAACTTATCACAACATAATTATAGGAAATAGCCTGTAAACGGTGTACCTTCACTAGATTGTATGACACTTCAAGAGTAAACTCTATTGTCTGTATTTTAATGTTTATCAAGTTACTGAAAGTGTTAAATATAGACTTCAGTGTAGCTGTATTGTATAGTGTATCTCTTCAAATACGACAAAGCCAACAGTAAGGAAAGTAACAAATATATCCTACTCACTGGTTATAATACAGTCAGTTTATACATAAAATAAGCATTTCAGATGCCCTTCTAAAATATCAGGCCATCTTTATGCATGTATGCATCGTCAGCACAGGATCACAAGAGATGGACCAAACCAACACTATAAATGCCAAATATCATTTCTATTCTTTTATTTTACTCTCTTCTAAAAGATATATGTTTTATTACAGAAAGAAAAGATGTTCCTCTTTGTATACTTTTACTTTTTTTGCATTACCGGTGTTTGTCAGCATAAATTGCACGCTTTATAGAATACAACCACCCTTTGTTGAAATATACGATCCATAGGATGAATAGCGGTCCTATGTGTATTTTTAGAAGTGGGGTTATGAAAAGGGCTACTCTTTATTTTTACCATCACTTTCTTTCCTTGATCAAAGTCAACGGTGTTATAAGCTAGACATAATATAGAATAAATTATGCTATAAAGCTTAAGCAGCAACATCCATTAGGACAAGGTTTACCCATGATCTGCCATTGAATTATGTAATAAGGAATAAATACTCTTTATATGAATTAATTGTAGTAGAAGTCTTAGCTTGAATAAATCCAATGGTTGACATTAAGTTGCATTGAGATATAAAGAGAACCCAACAATCTACAGACTCTATAATAGAGCTTTTCTTCATTTATGACGATAAACCTTCATACTATTTTATTCTATAAAAAGACTTGTAAAGGTTCCTCGGATCAGTATCTCTCCTCAATGCCTAGGTTTCATATCTATCTTTAACGATTGGTCAGGCACATGATGATATGTCGACTGAATTAACAAAGTACTTTCTTATCAAATGAAATTTTTAGATAATACATATCTACATGAGATCGCGTTATTCTCAGCATCCAAAGTTTAATCATCATCTATATATCGTGAATTAACCAACGAGCAGTATTAACTCGATAAAAGATCTCCCTAAAAATCGTGTATCTCAAAAAGTATAAATAGAACCTTTTATTCCATATAATTTGTTCTTCGTCTAACTTTCTCCTAATAAAGCATTTCAAAATATTTCCTTGTTTGTTTTATCTGTTGAGAGTATTGTCCTATCGCACTGGCTGTAGTTGTAGTTGTTGCTGTTAGTACTCGGTAATATGTAGAATAAAAGGAAAGAAGTGGTGAGTCTCTGTTTTATCCTTTTATTAAAAGTGAGAAAATGTTGTATTTGGCACTGATGATGGCTTATAGAGCATTCAAAGAGTTTATCATAATTTGTACAGTACCAGTCCAAATTACATTGTATAAAAGAGCCTGTGGATAGAGTGGCATTATACTGATAGTACGTGCTACGATGTGATGTATATTGCTACTCTGTATTAATAATATATATATTTCTTCACTTCTTATTTTAAAAAAAATAAAAAGGTATACTTGGAAATTATTATTTAATCATATTTCATTTAAAATCAACCTATTCAATAATTCTTCAGGAAGAGCTTATAGCAAAAAGAAATTAGATTGCTTTAAAAGAGGTCGGAGTACTAATTAAGGTACATGCAATTAAGTCAAATGTAATCTCACACGTAAAGATTAGTATTAGACATAGTCAAACACGACAGTTATCGTTGGTGATCTAAATAGTGGATTTGTTCTTTGATTTGCTAAATTCTATTGTTGATTACAACAGGAGGCACTAATATAATCAAGAAAGACTTAGAGAATAAGCAATATGCCTTTTTCAAGTCTGAAAAGGGAAAATAAATGTTTGGTTACATCATTGGCTAATAAGAAAAGAATTATGCTGTAAATTATACAACTGGAAGTGCTGTATGTATTTGTATGGTATTTTTTGTCATGAAGGTACCATCCTTAAGGCGTATCGTATGCCAGAGAGCATAATGATCGATGCTACTTACAAAACCAACTTGCACTAACTAGTTTTTCTAAACATTGTTAGAACGGGCAGCATCTTGTACTTAAAGCGCATCTCATTGCGTACTTCGAGATCGCTGGTGCTTGGATAAGCGAAGAAAAAGAATTGAGCTTTGAATGGATGTTTCGGTGCTTAAAGAATGCTGTATGGCCTGAACACCTTAGAGGAAAGATACCACTTCCCTCTGTCATTATAACAGACAATGGAAGGGCTTTACGGTCGGCCATTTCAACCGTGTTCCCAGTATATTGAATAAATTATGCTACATCCACTTGCAAAGAAACGTCGAGATAAACTTGTTGAAATGCGTAACAGAAGGCAGCCATGTTAAACCTGAGCTTATCAAGCTCGAAATACAGTCAAGTTTCAAGAAATAGAGTTCAAAGCAAATAAAAAAGGGTCCTTGGATGAAGTTGCTGCAGACATGAAGCAGTATTCCCTGAAAGATGGATTTTATAAGAAGAGTAAAAGCAAGAAGGCTTCCAGCTTGAAGAGAGAATTTAGTGACGATGAAGAGTACGAATAACTCAAGCCTGTAAGCCATATAATATATATAAGAGTGTAACTAACATTGATTAACATATTGAAATAGTCAATGAGGTACTAGAAGAAATCATGCAGCCTTCAATATAGCTAGTAATCGCTTCTCTGATGCAAACATTCGATTCTTTGGCATCTAACCAAGATAAGCTCGAATTAATAGAAAAAGTGAATCAATTGAACACTATTGTTAAAGCAAAGAACCTAAACCATACCTTGCCACCAGCAACCACAGAAAAACAAAAAGCCCGACCTAAAGGCACAAAAAGAAAAGAAATACTCTTAGAAGGAACAGAAAAAGTAGGAGTTAAAAAAGAAAATTTAAAGCGAGAGAAGAAGCTCAAAATAAAAAAGAAGAAGAACTGTAAAACGAAAATTATACTTATGCAGACAAACATAGTAACTGTAGCTTTTTCGCAAATCGCTGCTTTAAAGTAGTTATTAAGCCGATAAGTTACTTATGCATCAAAGACAAACAAAAAAAGAAAATGGAGCTTATTCTTGATCCAATCAGTGACGGTAACTGTAGCTTCTGCTGCATTGCCTACGCGATTCATGGAGATGAAAGCCTGCGCATACGAGTGAAGAAGAAGATGCTGGGGTGATATCGACGCCATAAAGAAGGCATATATAAAAGTATATTCCCATGCGTATTCATTTTCAGTTAACTTGTAGCTAACAATTAGAAAAATAGGCAGAATAGATGAGCGGTTGATAATGTGCTGACTAATTTTGGAGATGTTGTGCCGATGAATTGTTGGTTCGATTCAATTGATTGCCCACAAATTGCTGCCAATTTTTATAATCGTGCGGTGGCAGTTTATTCAGAAACAGCTGGAAACATGTTGCTTTTGCCATCTAGAGCTGAAACACTAGACAATCTCAAGCCAACTATGTTATATTTAAGCCAGATTGAGCTGAAGCATTGGTATCTAATTGCTTTTGGTAAACAATTTAGAAAGCTACAATGACCATCGCTTTCATCAATGTATGAGTCAACGCGTATTGCTCTGGGATCACCCGACCATAGCCTTTTATATAGATAATCAAAATAATAAATTTTTTCTCGTAATGATATCAACAAATTCAAACTGATTAAAGAAAGTATTCATACAAGAAAATAGTGATATTTCATTTCTTATATGCACGAAAAAATTAGCATGCACGTAAATACCCAACGAAAAATACTGCTTTTGTAATAGTTTTAAACTTTGAGTTCCTTTTTCGAACTATATTAGTCCTTCTCAATAATCTAAGTTGTTAGTCACCGATATTCTGCTCCTTTAAAACAAATACTAATACAATAAACACAATATTGATTCTTATTTTATAGCTATACTATTCTCTCTTTTTCTATCTTTTTAAAAAATGAACTTTTCATCTGAAATTAACATTGCTGCTTACAGTCCTGTGCGTGAGTTTCAAATTATGGATATCGCTCTGTACAAGCAAGTTATTGAGAGTCACACAGTTAAATTTGGTGCCAAGTGGGTTATTAGGAAGATAACTAGAAATAATATCACGGATCAAGAGTTGGATGGAACCAGAGGTAGACCACGTGCAGACTATCTTTGAAGAAGTCTGTATGAATGTCATCATATATAGAAGCAAGTGACACGCTATGACGGTTCAAAGAGCCTTGCAAAAAAAAAAAAAAAAAAAAAAAGTAAGATCGGATGCAAGGCTCGTTTGATAGCAACTTGCTATTTTAGCAACTCTGAAGAAGTGGGTATCACGATGAATGGTAACTACTGTCACGTATTCAGCTCTGCAGAGGATTTTCAGTACCTTTTTCTGTCTGTAGATGTCAAAGAAGCCATCTTTCAGCGATTCCAAGAAGAATATAATATGAGAAGCGTACGTTTTGCTATGCATAGAGCATTTCGCTCTCAAAATGAAGCTGCGGTAAGCATTCTCCACAGGAGTAACCTTGTTCACAGTGAAGATGTGTACAACGTCTTCAGAAAGGTATTTGAAAAGGCTTACAAGAGGCATGACGATCAGAAAGCCTCTGTCAAACTATGGTTGAACCACTTGGAATCAAAGAATTACAATGTATACATTGACAATGACTATGACAGTTCATTCCCTTTTGGATTCTGTTCAGCTTGACAAGCATTTCTTTTAACCGAAACGAAGGATTTTTCTTTGGATGCAACGCATAATACAACTGCATTTAAAGATGGTCTGTTGTATACTTTGGTAATCAGGCATACAGAAACTGGGACTGGCTGTCTTATTGCATACCTCTTCACTATTGATAGATCTTTCTTGCTTGTAACTCACTGACTCTACCACTTAAAGCATTCTGCCAGACTTTCTCCTGAAAAAATTACGATTGACACGTGTAACGTGGAAGAAAATGCGATTCGCAGTATATTTCCATCTGTCAACATTCAATGGTGTCTTTTTCATGCACTGAGAGCAATATCACAGCAAGTACGAACCAAACTTGTGCTTGAAAGCCTACCAGATAACAAAAGAGCGCATCAGGCAGTTATCTCACAGCTGAAAGGGATGATGTGGGAGAACAGCAGAGCTGAATATACCGGAAATCTCAACCAATTCGTTCAAGAGTTCAGCATATACCCAGTATTCATGCTCTATTTCAAGAACAGCTATTTGGATAACAACAGATTCATTAAGTGGAGAAGAGCCTATTAACCAGGCAGATATACCAACATGGAAACAAATAACTACGTTGAAAGTTGGTACAATCAGCTCAAGACTAGTTATTTGCAAAGAAGAAATAGAAGAGTTGACAGGCTGGTGTATATTCTGACAATGACATTGAAGAAGACTTTCTGAGCAACATAAATCGTATCAAAATGAATCTTGGAAGAATGGAACCTGGAGAAAGGGAAGCAAGAAGAAGGGAGCTTGAAACTGAAGAGGTCAGCATCCATGTGGCAATGGACATGATTTCTGAAGTGGAAAAAGCTAGCCTGCATAATGCTCAGTCGTTCAACAATGAGGGCGAATCTTATGAAGTTCGTGTTGAAAATGGTACGGTAAAGTTTTGTAGTTGCCCAGAATTTCGATACCAAAACAGGGCTTGCAAGTATATGTTACTTCTGGGACGTTGTACTGAATATGATGTTTGGAGAGGTGATAAATGTAAATGCTCGTGAAAAAGAAAATTCTAACGCTTTTCTTTTTAAAGGCTCAACTTATACTGAAGTATCAAGCACTGAAGGGTTGCAGCTTGAACCTGAACATGAACTGCAAAGAGAGCAAGAAGATATGGTGCAAAAGTTGAAGATGCTGAAAGAAGTTGTAGAGAATCTAAGGCCCGACGAAGTTACCAGTTCGTGGAAGCTTCAAGTTGAACAGCTTTCTAGAGAAGTTGTATTAAGAAGTAACCAAGTGGAAGAGTTACCATTAAGCATTCATTTAGAAAGACAAAGATAAATAGAAAATATTTTCTTAATATTTTGTAGCATGAATTTCTTCATGCAAGTAGTGTTTCCCATTTCTAAGCCATGCACAGTACCCCCAAAAACAGTTATCGTTTTTAAATGTCTGTTTTTTGTTGCTATCAAAAACTAAACAGTAAAAAAAGCGATCCTTTTGTACCTTTGTTGCAGTTACAAGAGAAGCGATGGAGAAAGGTCAGTCAAGTAAGTAGGAAAAAAAAAAAAGAGAGAATTGTAAAGCAATTTTTGGGATTTTTATTGATTTAATATTTGGTGGGTCCACTACGAGCCTTTGCGACATCTTTGGTCCTCTTCGGCATCGTTTCCGGGGTAATCTCCCTCCAAGCACTCTTCAAAACAACTTCCATGGCTTGTGGGATTTTGGCATGAGGGCATACAGTGTTAACCCTCTTCTTCATAATGCTCCACAGATTTTCGATTGGGTTTAAATCCGGTGATTGTGCTAGCCAGGACATCTTTATATTCTTTGCTTTCCTCCATTCTGCGGCAATTTTCGCTCTTCAATTTCTTTTCATCAGCTATGGCGCCCCAAACTATGATTGAAGTTCTGCCACTTTGAAGGTTGGATCTAGGCATTCTTTTTTGAATTTTTCCAGCATCTTACGCCAAACTCTAAACTGTGAGGACAGCTTGCCGATTTCAAAGCTCGATTCGTCCATCCAGTTTACCTTTCGCCAGTCGTCTACTGTCCAGTAGGCATGATTTTTGGCAAAGATATACCTTTCATTTTGCTGCTTTTCATCCAAGAATGGCTTCTTAACAGCCACACGAGAAGCTTAGCCAAGCTTTCTCAGTTCCCTGCGAATTGTTTTTTCAGAGGCTTTCGTGCTAATTAATTGTCTGATTTCGTTAAGTGGAGCATGGTGATTTGCACGTATAATCCTTTCTAGCTCTCTTCTTTTTCTATCATTGAAAAGAGACGGTCTTCCAGGCTTAGGTTTTATCTCTACTGTTCCATTTTTCTTCCATTGCTGATAAACTCGACGTACAGATCTTTCTGAAATGTTCTCGTCAATGGCAATTTGTGCTGTCGAAACGCCATCGCGACGTCTATTAACAATTTTTTCTTTTAAAGATAAAGTTAAATATGGCATTTTATGTTGTTAGAAAGAAAAGTAAAAGTAGCCTTATTTTTTAGAGTAAATTGTGCTTATTTCGTACCTGCAAGTGACTGCATAAAAGCAGTCTTATTCATGTGGCACCTTTCAAAAAAAGACCTGACTTTTAAAAAACAGCAAAGACTTATGCTTTTCCGGGGCAAGTCAGCCACGTCCTCGGATTATGACATCATTGCTCCACCAATTCGCATATCTGGATTTTGGTGTTTATCACTTTTGCTCATAAGCATATTTGCGAAAAACAAAAACTACAACTAATGAGAAAGGCTAAAAAAGAAGAACCTGAAGAATATGAAGTTGAGAAAATTGTCAATCACCGTATAGCTGGCAGAGCTGTATGTATGATCTATGAAAGCTCAAGAATTTCATTTTAACTACTTGATTAGAAAAAACGAATTGAATATTTCATCAAATGGAAAGGCTACTCTTCCAAAGATAACACATGGGAGCCAAGCTCAGCAGTGTACATAGTTGATTACTTTTACTTTTTCATAAGTAACCTCTTTTTATAGTACCAATGCTGAAGAGCTTGTCAAGCAATATTGGAACACACACGGTGGTTTGGAAGAACGCGACAAGATCTTAGGTAAAAAGAGATCAGTTACAGCTAAAAAGGAGATCACGCCCTTGAAGCGGCAAAGACAAAATTCACCTGAGGCAACCAACAAGAGAAAGAAAACGGTTGATACAACCTCTGATCATAAACAAAATACCCAAAAGAAGAAAGAAAAGGAAGAAAAAAGTGAGTCAGTCAGTGAAACGCATTCTCCTCTTATGGAGCCTGAGGAAACTGAAGTTGAAGAAGTAAAAAAACAAATACCAAAGGAGACTAAACCTGAAAAGCAAGACGTTGAGATGTCTGAGACAAAACAAATCGCAAGTGCTGAAGAGGAAGATTCAGATGATTACGAAGAAGATGACATTGTAACTGATCCTGATTACAGACGTGACTGGGATTGGGCTAAGGACATTGACAGTCTCATTAAAGTTCAAAGAGGAAGAAAGCGCGAACTTGAAGCTTTAATTCGATGGTATAAACAAGAACATTAGTTCTTTACACTCATACTAAAATCATACATAGGAAGGATGGTGTATTGGCACTTTATACGACTGCATCCATCAAGCAAAAGTGCCCTAAATTGGTAAGTCATTATTTTGTGTGGGAATTATGCTGACTCCAACTAATTGCTTATTCCGTTTTAAGTTATTGGACTACTATGAATCACGACTGCAGTTCCAAAAAAAAAGCCAAATAAACACAATCTAGGATTTTTCTTTCTCTCTTTTTTTGTTTTTGTTTTCTTTAAAAGATGGATTTTTCAAATTTGTTTTCTGTAAAGGATAAGGTAAGGGACAGCTTTTGCTTCTTGTGGGCCATAATACAAAATAAGAGCATTAGGTTGTTTTAGTTACCGGAGGCTCAAGAGGAATCGGCGAAATGATTGCCACTGTAAGTTAAAGATATAATGTAGGTAGGGTAAACTAGATGAAATATAGGGATTTGTATCTGCTGGAGCAAAAGTATACATTACAAGCCGTTCCGCTGATGTCTGTTATAAAGTCGCAAAAGAACTAACAGCCAAGGGCCCTGGACAGTGCATTGCCATCCCTGCCAACTTACAGCATATTGATGAGATTAAACGCTTAGTTGCCGAGATTTCAAAAGCAGAAGATCGTAAATAATACCTTTAGACAACTATGAACAACCATTGACGTATTATAGATCTTGACGTGCTAGTCAATAATGCAGGTGCAAATTGGAGCGAGTCTTTTGAGAAGTTCCCTGATGAAGCTTTTGAGAAGGTCATAAGCTTGAATCTAAAGCGTATCTTTACTTTAACTCAGGCGTACGTTCGATAATATGGTTTAAAAGATGATGTGTTAAATCTTTTTATTAGCTGTCTTCCACTTTTGACAGCAAAGGCTGCACCAGATAATACTAGCTCAGTCATCAACATTGGATCTATTGACGGCGAGAGGGTAAGTCAGACAATGACCTATTGGATTTTTCCTTATCTCTTTTTATATTAGTCACCTCCACAAGAAACATACGCGTATTCAGCTTCAAAAGGTGGCCTTCATCATATGTCACGCCATATGGCTGGAAAACTAGGTCGTAAAAATGTACGTGTCAATGTAGTTGCTCCTGGTGCCTTTCAATCCAAGATGATGAAGGCTACATTAGATAAATTTCATAAACAGATCGTTGCTTCCATTCCTGCCGGTAGAATTGGCTCACCAGAGGATATTGCTGGTACATGTATCTACTTGTCTTCTAGAGCTGGACAGTACACAAATGGTGCCACGATTACTGTTGACGGCGCTGCTCTTGCTGCTTCTAGGATGTAACATAGCCTTTCATTTGGTTATCATAGACGTGCAACATGGAATTGTAACCTTTAGTTAATAAAAAGCCTTCAAAATGTATAATCAAATAATATGTAAAGATCTATCCATCTTTCTTATTAAAAGTACAATTTACCTTATTTCTAGTGTATGGTAAGCCCTTTCCTTTGCCAGGCCCATTATGTCATTGAATAAAAGATATAGTGATATATACATAAGATATACTATCAGTAAAGCCAAAGGGACGAAACTCATGTATTTATGAAAATTCCAAGTATATACTTTTTTCAGAAATCACCGGCGTACAATAAAATATCAGTAACGATCAACACTTTAGTTGGCTATTAGCCTTTTCTTTATCATTTAAAAAACAGTGGATTTTGTCTTTTTGAGAGAAGAAAACAGACTTGTATAATGCGGCCAACACTTATAATTACCATGTAACTGATTTACTAAGCAGTTCTTTTATATCTCATTCTTTTGCTTCTGATGAACTCTCTTTTATTATTGTTTGTTGTTTTGAAATTATCATTTTTCTATCAGTGAATAAAGTGTAGACTAGAGTTCCCGTGATTGGCTTGAACCTGTCAATTTTTAATTGTCCGCTTTGAAGGGAGTCAAGCATACTGATCCCCTTGGCACCATCAAGGATCCTTCTCTTTTCTTACTGACAACATGGATACTCTTACTCTCCGCGGAACACTTGAAGGTGTGTAAAGCATATTGTTGAACGATACAGGATGGATGATAGATGACGGATGGATAATATTGGATGCTGTATGGATTATATACATGGCAGGGAATATGACCGCATAATTTATACATTAAGAGCAGATTAATTCAATTTTAGTCATCCATCCATCGCTCCTTCTTGTCATTGTTCAACAAACACAAATACACACACATTATACTTGAATTACTAACAAAAAAAACCAAATAGGCCACGGCAACTGGGGTAAGTGCTTCGATGATTTACTTTATCAGTAGTAATGAAGATATAAAGACGATTCATAGTTACTGCTATTGCCACCACCTCTGAGGCACCCGATATGGTTTTGTCAGCTTCTCGTGATAAGACCGTCATCGTCTGGCAACTTACCAGGTATAAACATGTGGATTAAAAATGGATGAGAAATGAATGATTGACACATAATTAGAGATGAAGTCAACTATGGTGTCCCTCGTAAGTCCCTTGTCGGCCACTCCCACTTTGTTGAAGATATTGCCATCTCTTCTGATGGTCAATTTGCTTTATCTGCTTCTTGGGATCACACTCTTCGTCTCTGGGACTTGAACACCGGAAAGACCACTCGTCGTTTTGTTGGCCACACCAACGATGTTCTTTCCGTCTCTTTCTCTGCCGATAACCGTCAAATCGTTTCCGGCTCTCGTGATAAGTCCATCAAGCTCTGGAATACCCTTGGTGAGTGCAAGTACAACATCACCGAAGATGGTCACACCGAATGGGTCTCTTGTGTCCGCTTCTCTCCTAACCCTGCTACTCCTCTCATCGTCTCTGGTGGTTGGGACAAGATCGTCAAGGTTTGGGATCTTACCAAGTTGAAGCTTCGTACCAACTTCATTGGCCACAATGGTAATGTCAACACAGTCACTATCTCTCCTGATGGCTCTCTCTGTGCTTCTGCCGGTAAGGATGGTGTTGTCATGCTCTGGGATCTTAGTGATGCCAAGCACCTTTACTCTCTCGAAGCCAACGCTCCTGTCAACGCTCTTACTTTCTCTCCTAACCGCTACTGGCTCTGTGCTGCCACAGCTAACGGTATCAAGATCTGGGATCTCGAGACCAAGTCCATCGTTGACGAGCTTCGTCCTGAATTTGCTCAATTGGGTAAGAGAAAGAACCCTGATCCCGAATGTTTGTCTGTTGCTTGGAGTGCTGATGGCGCCACTCTTTTCTCTGGTTACTCTGATAACATCATCCGTGTCTGGCAAGTCACCCGTACTCTCTAAATAGCAGAGTCATTCCCCGTTTTTAATAAATAAGAGGTTCATTGTAAAATAGTGCAAACCGAATTGATGTTTGGCTTTGATGTACCCTTAGCGACCAAGAAAGGGATTATTTTATTTTGTATATGCTTTAGTAGAAGTGAAAGAGAGGGGAGGAGGGATATGTTATTCAGTACATGTACTGAGTTGCAGTAGCTCAAATGACTTTTCTATACCTTGTTGTCTCTATGACAGATACAGCAAATATGTACAAGAAGCCTCATTGAAATATAAAGACAAGTCTAGAGGTAACCATACAAAATTATGAACTACTT